ACATATATTTTTCTATCTACTCATATATATATATATATATATATATATATATATATATATATATATATATATATATCTGTGTATATGTATTGCATGCCCTCTATACTCTTATCTGTATCCACAGTGCCTCTAAGTGGGAACTTTACGAGCAGACCCACAGCAGAAATAACCAACGGCCTGCAGCAGCAGCAACAGCAGCAGCAGAAACAGCAGCAGCAGCAACAGCAGCAACAGGAGCAGCAGCAGCAGCAGTTAACGTAACACCAGCAGCAACAACATCAGCAGCAGCATCATATTCAAATTGTGCGGCCTGCTGAGTAACAAAGGATAACAAGCCATTGCTGTGTCACTACTGTATCTGTTGCTGCTGTTGCTGCTGCTGCTGCTGCTGCTGCTGCTAGTATTGTTCCTCCTACTGCTGCTGCCGATATTAGTATTCGTCCTACTGCTGTTGCTGCTACTACCGCTCCTCCTATAGGCGTTGCTGTTTCTGCTGCTCTTGCTGCTGCTGTTGTTGCTGCTGCAGTTGTTGCAGTTGCTGCAGTTGCTGCTGCTGCTGCTCCCGTTCCTGTTGCTGCTCATCCGTGCTGCTGCAGGCGGAGAGGGTTGGGTTCATTCTCTTGAAGCAGCAAAGAGACACAGTTAAGACTTGATCTGCAGGAGCAGCAGCAGCAGCAGCTGCTGCTGCTGCTGCCGTCGCCGCTGCTGCTGCTGCTGCAGCAACTACAAAAAGTAAGCCGTTGCTGCCACCGCAGCTGCAGCATAAGACACGCTTAGCCTTCTGCAGCAGCACACAGGAACAGCAGCAGCTGCTGCTGCTGCAACTGCAGCAGCAGCAGCAGCAGCAGCAGCAGCAGGTGACCCTTGTGGGATGACACACCTCTCGCTCCCGCAGCCACAGCAGCAGCAGCAGCAGCAGCAGCAACAGCAGCAGCAACACGCCGAATATTTACAACAATGATTACATAGAGACGAGAATTGAAACGGTGTAAACATCTTACCTGCTGCAGCAGCAGCACAGCAGCAGCATCATCCTCGTACGGGGGAGGCCAACAGCAGCAGCAGCAGCAGCAGCTGCTGTTGCTGCCTCAGCAGCAGCTGCTGCAAGACCT